ACTAATGGGCGGAGCACAGGCGGCGGAGGCTCTTCTTGGGCCTCTGACTACTGCTTCCACTAGTGCATGTACTTCCATGCTTGCGCACACACACTTCATCGTAATCTCTCGCTTTGTAGAAAAGTTCCTAGAATGAACACCGTAATATGTTACTTGAAGATTCCACATCATCTCTGAATACATTGCACGCCTAAAACTGAAAGTAGGCGCTCACTGCTTCAGGAAGAACATTAAGAACAGGGGCGATGGTAGGTGACACCAGGACTAGGCCCAGGAGGTGGGAGAAGTCACGAAAACAGCAAATTGCTCACATCCCCCCGCAAATTTCCCTCTTCTATCTGAGACTTATTTCTAAGTGCTGTAAGTGGTTCACTCACTTGACTGTCCCACCTTCCCCCTCCAATGTCCTGAGCGCAAGAGACTAGTAGAGAAGTGAAAGAAAGCTCCTACTCTCTACTGCCTTCCCCGATACGCATAGGGTTATGAAATATGCAATAGAATAGAAAAGAACGATCAAAAGCTATCGCAGTACATATCAAATTAATCACGAGCAGGGTGAAAATCGTGTCGAGGAAATAACCGCCTCTTTACGACCCCCCTCCAAAACATGGACTCTGATACGACCCCTTTTTGTCCTCTGCACATCCGGTTTCATATCAAAAAATGCTAGTTTCAGATGTGCGAGAGGGACGCAGCGCCGCTGCCACGCAAATGCGGCTTGATCCAAATGCTAGATTCAATTCTGCTCAGATTAGGTTCTCCTTCTTTCCTTTAAAGACATTTAACCTTTGCCACATTGGCCGGAAAGTAGAACATTGAAGGAGGTACTGCCCCTGGCCGGAAAGTAGAACATTGAAGGAGGTACTGCCCCTACACAGTTGAACAGTCTCGCGCTCCAGTATAGCGGCGCTAACTACCCGCGATCGCGTCGCGCGCTGTGCCTAGAGCGCGCTAGTTGGAAAAATCGTCAAATGTACCCCCTATTTAAAGGACTATAACTTTCTTCATTGATAACCATTTCAGAAAGTGAAGGCAGCTTTTGAATGCACAAGACTTCTAGTTTCTAAATTGTGCTGAGCGTTTTTCTAAGCACGCCTATTCTCGAGAGTGGGAGACGTCGTCGAGGAAATTGTCGAGGAAATTGAAATTTACATGCGAGTTCCCACTCTTTAGGAAGACAGTAGCTGTCTTCATTGGCAATGCTTTGAAAATCGGAGGAAAGCGTTGTAAAGTAGAAGATTTACGCTTTCTGATAGGTGCTCCAGTTGTTTCGAACGCTTTCTAGTTCGCGAGAAATCTGCGTCGAGGAAATGTCAAGGAAATTTTCGAAGCCACTCGAAAACTCTATTACTCCCTCGCCGTAGTAGGGAACTTCTTTGAACACCTTCAAAATACTTCTGTACACGTCAGTTCGATGGAGTAAATTGAAAATGATGCACTTGGCGCGGATCCATTCCGTTCTTGTATGCGCCATGCAGTGACCCCACTCGGAGTCATTGGGAAGGTGTTTTGTCCTAGTGACGACTTGCTTAAGCACACCAAAAGATATTTCCAGTATTAACTAATTAGGATAACTCTTGTGGTCATAGTGATGTCTGATCATTCCTTTATTCAAATCGCTTCCTTTCCAACCCGTTCTGATGAATGACACGCTTGCGGTTGCAGGATCTGATGATGCCAAGAAGGCTGCGAATCTGCCTGTTTTGAACTTTCTAACAAGATGCTGTTCCTCCATTAAGTTTTCGAAGCATTAACGTCATTCTAGAGTAGATAATCGCTGCCCCTTTCCCTACGATTCTTTTGCAGGACGCGTTGCCTTCCTATGCCACACTGATCACTACGAACCAAACCAACACACACTTTCCATTTGAATTTTAATTCCAGACAGGTGTGAGATATTATTTGCATTAGGCTAACTACAACACTTGTGAAAGTAATGATGACAGCAAATAAGTGGCAGCAGCACCGTTGTGTCCGTTGATGACCCTTTTGATTACGACCCCCTCCCAACTCTCATCGGAGCAAATACGACCCCCTGTCGAGGATTTCCTCGACCGTTATTCACCCTGATCACGAGGCAAGGAAGGAATCCAATTCACATGTCTAGCTCAGTGCGAAGTATGTGGTCGCGGCGGGCCTGCATGTTACTTTGCGGCGTTAGGGCTACGGTAGTCCAACGGTTGCATATTGATGCTTTCATTCTTCATTTCTGTTAAATTCTGTTGCATCCGCTATTTATTGAGACAAGAGCCTCAACTTTCCTTCAAATTGACGAGTTTCTCTGTAGGACTCATTATTACTGATCTTTCCATGAATTTTTCTACTTACTGAACGACGTTTGTGGTGGAGGGTTGGCTCATGAGGCGTGAAATTGTTTTTCTTTGAAGAAAGGTCTTCAGGGAGTGAAACGACTTTTTTCATCCTTTGGCCTGTGGAAAGTCGTTTCATGGATGCCTGTCGCTGGTGAGGGAGGGGGAAGGACCGTTTTTCAAAATTTTACCGCTCGCTTGACCCAAGCCCTACTGCGCACAAAAACAGTTCCTCTCTTGCACTGAACGAAAAGAAGTTGTGGTGAATAGTTTGGAAAAGCGCTTGGCTCTCCTCTTATATATCCCCTCAATGACATTAGACAATTTTTCGGTTTTTTAATTACTCCCTGTATATCTTATTTGTCAGAAGGGATTATGCTATGGTTAGTGCTCTGACGTGAGACTGCAAAATGATTGCAAATGTAATTTCAACGTCGGATTAAAACAAAATTTATCTTGTGGCTA